AAAGGAGACTGTACAAGTGGGAATAAATTATGCTGATTGCTGGGACAAATTTATGGTTTTGTTCACCTCCAGCATATCTATTTTCAACTAACATCAGCCACCAAAACCAAGGACAATGTCTAAGATTAGACTTATGAAATGTCACAACTGTTATTCTAAACAAATATGTGAGGTATTGTGAGCTACTTTGTACAAGACTATCCTTTCTTGAGTTACTATTTGCCTATCAGATTGCGCAATCAACAGCGTATACAATGGATACATGTGTGCTTATGTCAACTGTGAATAAACCCCTCTTTTAGGTTATTTCCAACTGTTTACAATTTGATAACAGATACATGAATGTTGATCATTCATGCACTGCACTGCCTCCCTACTCTATACTGAGATCAGAGTGGTATAGCTTATTGAGCTGTTACACCATATTGTAGATTCTGTTCCCCCCCACGACTTCTCCCTGAGTCAGCCATGGCAACGACGCCATCACAAAGCTCATCTGCAGGGCTGGAACTGCCAAGCTTTCATCACGACACTTCCAATCACTCCTTTCTCACCAGAAAATGGAAAACACACTGTATAGTGTACATGGTAACACAGGAAATATTACATCAAATACTGTGCACTTGTAAATTGCTCAATACTGTCATATGCACACAGGGTGCACAGATGTGCGAGACACCTCCTTTTTTCCTCCTTCGGCCTATCCATGACAGAATTAAGAGAGACAGTGTATAAACAAATAGACATAAGGGCACGTCTCAACACACAAGGTAGGTTTATTTGAGCAGGGTTTAGCATTCCAACAACATAGTGATAAGAAATGTTGTGTCTACTATGGCACTGGTTGCTGTGGTTACGTAACTACAGCACGGCTGGCTGAGGCTGTGAACAGTCAATCTGGTGACAGTGAGTGGTAGAAATTTGTGTGATGTTACTTCGAAACATTGCACATGTACAGTTATACAAAGGCATATTCATATTCCACTTCATTGTATATATTTTATTAGATCTTTATTATATTTTATTGTATTTTATTCTTTCTCTACTCTTTGCACTACATTTTCATGTGCGGCTGAGCCAAATTTGAATTTCCTTTATGGGGGGATCAATAAAGGGACATTTTATCTTATAAAATATCGATAATAAATACCTAAAACCTTGCAAAAAAAAATTAAAAATCCCATCTACGCAATGCGATAGGGTTGAGGATAATCTACAAAATAATATGAACATAATTTAAATTTATATGGAACTTTTCCAAACTAGGATGGACAGTGCATTAGAAAAAGACAAACAAAATTGAAATTAAAGTTAAACAAAGGAACAACATTATGATGATAACATAAGCTAATGACAGTGATAAATGTAATGTGCAATTGATGTAAAAGACACCAAAAGCCCTATGTAAATTTTACTTCATTACCCTAAAATTATAATGACTCTCTGCCAGGCGCCATCTCAGGCCATAGTCAGATCAAGTTTCCACAATTTAAATTATAGATTAAAGTGCAGTTCAACAAAGGGCACTCTCACTGGTTGCTTCTTTGACACCCTAACAACAGGACAACAAACTAATATCTCTTTAAGGGAACAACCCCCTCATCCTTTTTGATCCCCTCTACATAGAAACAAGCCACTGAGGGTACCAAGGATGATTTTGCCTTACCATTACAAACTGGGTACTATATACAGAACAGGCTGCAAAGACGTTGTATTATACAACATATATTATATAATTATTGTATGTTGTACTCATAAAAGGAGAGAGAAAATGGACAGAGGATGGCAAATTATAGATGGAAAATGTGAAAATGAACGTGTGGGTGGTGCAACTGCAACTAAAGACACATTCATAGTGGCCCTTTATGAGTCTCTCAGAGGAAAATCAGTAACACTAGCAGTCTGACCTCCTCTTATTCATCACTTCCTAATTACAAATGCCTCATGGTGGGGGATTCCGGGCAGAGCCACTATACCAACGCGCTCCTTCAACTGGGGCTGCTGACTGATGATGTAACACTTGAGTCAATGGGGCAGACCAGTGTTGTACGTGAGCTCAGTCACATACAACCACTGCAACACACAACCACAGAGGCTGGAGGCAGGCATCTGAGTGGGTTGAACCACAGGAAAAGACTGCAGAGGGGAGGAAAGACTCAGAATGATACCATACTGTGATGCATGATTCATTTCTTGTTTCATTCATTTATCATTTCTATCTCAGAACTAACACTGATCTGGCAAAGACATCACTATGCGGATGATGAGAATAATAAATAGTTGATAAAAAAGTATTTTATACATTAAAATTATTAGTTGTTTGCTGGTTACAGCTTCTAAAATGTGACTATATGCTGTTACCCCAGCCTGCTGCATATTTTTAATCATCAATTAATCATTTTGGGTTATAGTAACTTGCATGTCTGGACAGTGAACTATCTAGACATGCAAATAGCAGCCATTCATCAAAACTGTTCTGCTACATTGGAGCATGACCAATGTAGATATCACAACTTCACATTTTAACGCAATTCTTAAGACAACGCAACACAGACAGTTGCAATTGCAAAATTAAAAAGGGGATGTACATTTGTCTTGGAGGAAAAACTTGAGATTGCGTTTCGAGCATTTGCCCTTACAAGCTTGCCAACATGCATGGACTACAAATGAGATGCATGTCCAAAAAATTGTTATGTCGAATGGCAGTAGTACTAATAAATCAAAAGTTTTCTCCTAATACAACAGAACATAGCTTGCACCAAAAGCTACTGCAAAAACAGCACAGAAATATGTTTTTATAACAACTTACCACTTATGCATTACATCTGATATCATCATCAACTAGAACATCAACACAAAACAACACATTTATGCATATGATGGCGTGTTCTTTATACTATGACAGTTTTCTTCAAATTAAAGTTTTGAAAATCATCATAGAATGGCAACAGCTGTATCCTGATACGTATCAGTGTAATGAAATGTCATCCTCAGGCTACTCAACCTTAAATACTGTACCCTCAGGGGAGGATATTTTTGAAGCCATTAGAGGGAATGTGGCTGGTAAAAGACATAACTGATATAACTTCACCAAGGGCAGTAATGTTTTGGCCTGTCTGATCCAGCTAGCCAACTCCTGGTCATGATGGAAAAAACAAAACTACATCATTGATCAGATTGGCTGGCAGACATAGGTAGCGTGTCTGACCCCAACACAGCCAGTGAGCAGCCGCCACAAGCCAACAGCAGCCACAGTAACCCTGACACAGATGCAGGGCTAACTTTAGAGCTGGCTGCTAATAATCCTCTCCAATCCCTTCCCACCACTTCTACCTTCGTAACATACTCTCTCGTTGTAACATACTCTTAGTCACCATCTTCTCCTGTCTTCACAAACACTTTCCTTATTACTTATCTGTGAAACATGCCAGTAAAATCATTAGCAGTCATAGTAGCAATGCTCTCAGGGTGACATGACATTTAGTATCATCTACTATGGATGTGACGTAACACTGGGCTAATCCAAGTTGGCTCACAGAGACAGTACATGGTTTCTATCAGTCACACTCACTGCAGGTTGCGCTACATACCCCCAGTAGATCTTCCTGTTTCTTCTGGGGACAAACAAGCACGTTACTACTAATAACCTCTGCAACAACCCCAGTGTGTTGGAGCTTCCAATGCCAGCGGTCGAACTTCTTCCTGCAACAGCAGCCCAGGCAGAACTGACCGCTGCAGTGCGCGTGCCAACATACGACACTTTCAGGAGCTCAAGAGTAAATCCATTCAATGAGGATAAAGGACATGGAGAGCGCCTGCTGTGACCGAGCAATCGCCATGACCTGATACAGTGGATGTACATGAGACTTCCACTACTACGACACACCAGAGCGGTGTCACACTGACGTTACTACCAGCCTTGGTCATACAACCCCCCAGGTCTAAAAATTGAGTCATGGCTAATAATAGCGCACAGCATTTCTGTTTGTAGAAATGTAATACACAGAATGTACGATGGCACTTACACTATGTAGGCCTGTAAATTCCCAAAACATACTGCATGGGTTTCAGTTGAATGAATGGTGCAGAACGCTGTGCATATTCAGTGAATTTTAAATACATACGCTAAACATTTTTGGCAACATTTTTTAACCCAAGCAACTCACATTAAATTGAGTGCATTGACCCTGTGCCATAGGGTTTTGTCACTGCAGTCAAGTGTGTCTGCAGTGGCAAAGGAGTATCCATAATTGGCAGTGTTCCAACCATCTACGTAGCATTAGTCAGCAAACATGCAGCTGTGGTGGGAAGGGAATGCATGAGAGCAGTGCCAGCTGCAAAAGGCGTAGTTTACTGCACTGACCACTGGCTTAGCTGCAACTGGACTACCTTACCTCAACAGCAGGTCGAGGACACTTCCATCCAGAACAGAAAAATCGCAGTTTTGCCATCTATCAACTGGACGTCACAATTCATTATCATTTTTGCAAATGGCTGGTTACCTGCCAAAGTGCTTCTTAAAGTAGAATAACAGCCACAGCTAGAATTCCAATTTGACACTGTATACTTACAGTGCGATGACTAAGTTCCAGACTCTAGACTTTTAGGTAAAATTTACAGACTCATGAGAGCAATGGAATAATAATAAAAAAACAAAAAACTAATCCTCCAAAGTTTTCTGCTCCTAGTCAACAACCTAGGTTTAAGTAACAGGCACTTCCCTTTGTTGAGCTCATCAGCTCAACATTGACATTACGGCCTGACTGGTCCTCTGGGATAAACTCCATTTTGTCAAGAGGGCCTTCAGCCAGGAAGGACATAGCAATGACAGTGTTTCCAGAATTTTGCCAACAATTATTTCCCTCAACATAAAGCATAGGCAGGCTATACCCTCCTGCCTATGCATATGTCGTATGACATTAGACTTTAATATGCCGATTCAGATAAAGCCCTGCCTTAGTCATATCATCTTTTCTATTTTAAAAACAAGGCGTAGTGATCACTTTCCAAGGACGACACAGTTCAAGCTGTCAAACAGAGAGCAAAAAGCCATAACTACCTACAACAGACCTTCCTGCCCATGTATTCAGTGTCAACAAGGCCTATTATCTGTGGCACCACTGCAGCAAAGTACTGCAGTGAAGCTGATATGACAATGCACACATTTCAAACTACATTTATCATAGGATGGTTATTTCCCACAACCCAGAGAACGATTTACAGGTCTATTATAAGTGTTTGAGAAATATGACAGGAAAGACGGATGAATAAAAGGATGAACGTGACGAATTTATCTACTGACTCTGCCATGTGAAGGAATACGACGATAAAACAGAACTTCAAATAATCAATGGGAGTTTTAGCTTTGGTGCATTCACGTCACCAGTTAAAACGTATCGTTATTTTACTGTAATATACTAAAACGCACAGCAATACGGTGCATACGATGCGCTAAAGGTCACGTTCTCATCGTGCGTCACATTTTCCTGATCTGGAGAAGTCACAAAGCCTGACCAATAGGAGGCCGAGAAGACGGAGCGACCACACCTACAACATGAGGCAACAGGAAGCGATTCTTCAACGTTCAACACTTCACGCATCACATTTCATTTCAACCACTTTACATGTGTTTGGAGATAAAACAAGTCTACGCCGAGTTAGCCGTTAGTAAAAGACGTGCACGGTCAAATTCCCTCCGCTGGTCCATCCAACTTCACTGCATTTCAAATCACTACGTTGTTGAACAAACACCAAACACGTAAAGGATGACTAAAATGGCTTATCTAAAGCTCATCACACAGTCCAGTTCTACTGGTATTATAAAACATGGTTCCGAAAATACAAAGCTATATAGTAAAGAGTGGAAACAAGCCACTTGTGAGTCATATATTCATGACTTACCAGCGCGCATGATGTAGCTACATATTCAATAAAACACAGAATGGTTTAAAAGGCAGTAATGTGGCAGCGCAAGTGTCCCAGAGTTATCAGGTCACTTCACTGGATCAGAAATCAGCCCCTGTTAGAGATACCCATCTTACCTCGCTGAACAAGTGCTTGAGCCGATGTAAGTGCCGTAACAGTGAGACCAGCTCAAGGTGATCTTCCTACTCCTTTACTCTGCGGAACTACTTTGTAGAGATGCTGAGACATATCCTTCCGAGAGAATATAGATAAATGAAAATGAATACACCGTTTTAACACATTTATACCAACCGCACTCACCACACACTACTCAAATATGTGTTTTATATCAGTATTACTCTTAGGGAATGTCAGAAAATAGTAAAAAAGTAAAAAAGTCGCGGAAGGATACGGTGATACGCGGTGACAAGGTTATGAACCAATGGGAGCGCGTGAATGCATCAGAAGCGCATGGAGTCTGACATGTGACTGAGGATGGTGTGCTGCAGTTTCCTGACAAACTCAGTGCTTAGGTCGCTTTAGTCGTTCAGTGTTTGTCCATTTGAATGGCCCCTAATGACATTCAGATAAGTAATCAGTCATGATGATTTTATGATTTTGGCTCCATTATCGTGCGGATGAGCAAATCATCGGCAGCCGAAATGGTTCATGGGAAGCATCATCAAACGTCGACAGTTACCTAACATTGCAGGTAACTGTGTTAAAGGCTACCAAAGTAATGCTCGCCCCAATATTTAAATCAAATAATGCAATAATGAGGCTCAGATATTCTGTACTTGTAGCTCTGAGCCAGTCAGTGAATTAAAGGATCCTCGTGATGTGCTACTACCTTGCTACTGTGCAGTGTTTGAGCCAATACCTCCATCTAGTGATGGAAAACAATATAACAGATTTGAGATGGGTTTTTTTAGTTATATGCATGTATTTACTTCATATTGAGTATAAGAAAAACACGTGCTTTTTCATATGTATTAGGTATAGTTCACATAATTTATTCTACATTTTACTGACTTTACATTTTTAAAATGAGGCTACATATTTCAAGTAGCCTACTTCCACAACCAGTATGGCTATACTAACACCAGACATTATACAACATACAAATAAATCCACTTCTAGCATTGCTGTACTATTACTACTACTGTTGCTATAACATCATTAAATATTGTAATAATTATTATTTGATGAAGACACCCTAAGAAACTTTGTTGGAGACACACACAACATCACTGTGTTGTTACTTCCTCGGGATGATGAGTGTAATACCATCACAGTGCTGATCAGCTGTGGTATATTAATGGCAGTATCTGCTGTTTGTCCAGTGCAGACAGCTATGTCGCAAATGTTCCCCAGCATGATTAATTCTGTTGTTGTGATAATCAGCTCTGCCAAGGAGGTGGCAGGCAAACTAAATCCCTGCTGCAGACACAACTGCCTACCATATCTCAACCATAGTGAGATTAAAATCTTAACATTCAAACTCTGCAACAGGGATTCGACAAACTAATCTGGCAAAGATGCTCCTCAAAGTACTATTGACTTTGCAGATACAGAAAATGCTACTCTTCACCCCTCCCGTATTTCCTGTGGACTACTGTAAGGGTGCACTTTTCATTGGATCGATGTTTCCTCCCCTTCTGTCCCATTTTGCTCTCACCTGTTCACAGCTGTGGTGGTGTTAGCACTGCTGCTTCCACTGCCCATGTTGCTGTCTCAGTGGCTGCTGGCAGCCTCTGCCTGGATCCACTCCACTCCGCTACCTAAGGCCAATGGACACACCTGTCCAGGTGAGGGACAGATCCGCCGTCCAGTCACCCTGTCCACTGGTCAAGCCCCTGGCTGTCAGTCAGTATTAAAGGCGGCTAACCCCTGGGCCACGAGGTACAGTAAGACACTGTGGGAATATTCTCAGATAAATCTCAGAGATGAGCAGATATGACATCCTAATGCTTTTGAATGTATTGTTACTGCGCGAGTACAGAAACTGATGCCTATGAATATAGATACGGGGAAAAACAAACAAAAAAGTGAAATAAAGCCAACTTCATGAAGGCCCACAGAAGAACTAAAATAGCACAGTTATGTATTGATTACATTGTGGTCGTAATAGGATAGAAAAAGAAAAACAAAGAAAAGACATAATAGATGTAAAATAACACTAATGGGACACATTAGTAATACATACATAATCAGTATTAAAAATAATGTTCTCCTTCCATAGTATGACATTTGGAAATATTGGAAGATCTGTGAAAATAACACATATTCCCCTAGTGCAAAATGAAATGAGACACAATCAAGACAAATTACCTTTTGCTTTAGTGGAAGCCAAGCTTTGAATTTTACTTTAAAGTAGATAAAGTGTGTTCTTAGCTGACAAAATTAAATATATGCAGGTTAATTATTATTCAGAGAGAGACATTTTCAGAGAGTTTAGAATTTAGAAAGTTCCAATTATGTTGCAATTTTTATTTTCAGCTGTATCCTGAAATATTATCTATAGATTGTTGTTGTACAGTGATGGACGGTTGCACTGTCGGTGGATGGTGGGGGATTGTTCTAGGGCTACTACTATAGTGAATTCTTCATTTGAACCTGGAACTCCTATTGATAAACAAGAAGTATCAGGCAGTATAACAGTGGTTGACAAAGCAGCTATGGCATAATGTCAAGTTGTTCACCATTTTATATTTTGCCATTAGGGTGCCCTTTAGTTTGCCTTACTGTGTGCCTAATAAAAATTTGAAGATCTTATTTTTCTCTTCGTCTCTCGACTGCAGCCACACACTGAGCAGTTGCCGACAGTTGGCTTAACACCTGTTCATTAATCTGTCCATTCTTTAGGTCAGTTCTTAAATAGATGCCTTGAGATAATAAGGGTAAAGACTGATTAGCTCAAAAGCCTGTGCTTACAATGACATGGTTTATTGTGGACACAGCAGATGTGATATTTTTCTAATGTAATATTATTTTTTTAAGATGTTACTGAAATATAACTAGTACCATTGTCATATAATTTGAATGTTAGATCGATTAAGTCTATGTATTGCTGCAGCTATACAGCTTGCAGTGCAGCTAAAGTGTATCATTAAGCTTTTTCTAACATCTATATTATCAATTATGCATTACGTCTTATTCACATATACATTTACATTAAGAACCACCACCCTGTCCCTCCAAAATTGTACAAATTGTACATCATTAAGCATATTTGTGCTTTCTGGCTTCTTTATTTTTGAATAAATTTAGATAAATAAACACTGAAATATAACTACGGAAGCTGCCCCCTAAGCATCATTTCACATTAATAGACAATGACTTGTGCAACCACACAAAAAACACAAACAAACAGGCAAGCTCATGTACACGAGCAGAGCCATTTTTCCTCCATTTTTTCTCCTATTTCTCAGCAGCAGTGAAGTCAGCTGCAGGTCACATGACTGGTTTGCCTGGTCTCACTGAGCATGCTCAGACCCCTCAGTGTTGTCAGGCAAAATATAAGACAGCAGTAGGAGCAGAGATCTGCAATAGATAAACACACAGCCACACACACACCAGCTGGATTGCTTGCAGACACACCACAATCACTGAGAGATAGACGCCGAAGAATTGGGGGATTGTGGCTCTGGTTCCTCTAATATCTTATTTTAATGGGCTTACTGTCATCTATTGTTTCAGTGGAAAACAGCCACCGAGAGAGAGGGGCAGGTGTGCCCTTTAAGAGGGGGAGCAGCTGAAGCAAGGACAGCATCCGAGTCTCCATCCTCTCTGGAGGTAAGTGTGGATGGATGGGGTAGGGGTGCAGAGCGAGGGGGGAGGGGAAAATCCGCCTGACTACATCTGTGTTTGTGTTGAATATTATCAGAAGGCGGAATGGGTACGGTGGTGTTGGCTATTGGAGGAGGGGGGGCCCGGTTTGTTGGCGACTATTGGTATGTGAGACGACAGAGGCTGTGGGAATGGCGGGGAGTGGGGGTGGTGGAGGATTGTAAAATGGCCCTTTTAGCAAGTGGTTGAAGGACATGGCAGTTTGCAAGCCAGGCCAACAATAAAAGAAAGGAGAGGAGATGAAGTGGAAGACGTGGTAATGACGGGGGGGGGGGCCGTCTTTAATAGGCTGCTGTTGATGTCGGAAGGGTGTTTCAGACAAGTAAGGAGCCACATCGTAACATGAAAAAAGGAAATATCCATAATCAGGAAGAGAAAAACTCAGCATTATGATTATTCTGTGTGGACATGGAGATGGTAGCCCAATCTAAGGTAGAGATGAGCTTAGTGTCTTATGCTAGTGCAGCAAACAAAGAAGAAAATAAAATAAATAAATGTTCATTTTATCGTATTGACCTACTATAAATAGCATAGATGCCTTCATATTTGATGGTTTTGTAAAGGTCCTGTAGTGCCAAGCTACATTTCCACCCAGTCTTTGTTTGCACGTGTCAGGATTCAGTCACAATATATATTAGGAATTATTTTATTACTTTGGCTCGATATGCACCAGACTGTGTAAATTTGAATTTGTATTCTGATGCTGCAGTGTGAAACAAGCAACTATGCGTCTGCAGCTTCTCGTTAAAAGGGAACCATGCTCATTGTTTACATGTCTAACATAAAACATGATGGGTCGCTATGAAATACAGTGTATTGTAGCTGCCTCTGGTATATCAATGATGTTGTTTACCCTTATCTTTTCATCTGATTTTGTTTTGTCAAAATGTATCTCTAAATTTGGACCATATAAAATGCAAGATCGCAAACAGCTGTAGCTATTCCTTTATAGGCAGCCATTATTTTATTTTGTTAAATTCTTGTGAAACGTCTTTGATTTTCTACTCTACACCCTGTTGCGCTCTGCTTGTGCCAACCCTTCCATTTATTTGCCAGGAAAATCTAAATGGTCATTCCAACAATGCACTGACATCAGCAGATGTGCTGTTTTCACTGTGCGTCTATAAAGGTGTACCAACCTTTGGTGCTTCAATATTAATAGACGTTCCTGTAAAAAAACAAAACAAAACAAAGAAATTGAGACATCCTGGGTACTGAACGTACAGCACATATCTCCCACACATTCTCTCCACAGTGATTAATGCCACTCTGAAAGGAGGCAGAGATGGCTGTTGCTAGGATACATGGCAAGGTGAAGTGCAGACCATTTAAAGAAAAGAGGAGGAGGGCACCATTTACAAAGCATGGCATCACTGGAGATGGCCTCTTTTGTTTCATGTTTTCTTCCTTTACTGAATTTTAATTTCCATTTCTCCAAGGTTTTGCAATTCTGAAGAGAAAGAAAGAGAGGTGGTCAGTCAAGTTTTCTGTTCTCGTTCCTTCCACCTGGAAATAGGCTGCAATGGTTGGCAGTAATCAAAGGCCTAAACCTGTCTGAGTGAGCCTTATGAACAGCAGACCCAATGGTAAGACTGCTTGGATTCTATAGGTGTAATCCCTGCATACGATTAAGCTGTGTCATTCATTCATGGCTTTGTTTAGGATTTCTAAAGTGGTAAATTAAATTAAATTACACTGTTATGGTGGTATTTTCCACAGACACTTAAATGCTGTATTAGCTTCATCTATGTATATTGAATAAGTTAAATACTGTATGTTTATGCAACAGGCCCTCCAGGCTTCAGGAGACATGGTTATTTTTATAAAAAAAGACAGATATTTTTATTAATGCATCTGTTTTAATTATCAGTTGAGTATACTTCTGAAGGATGAATTCGGAGAATATCCAGTCTTTTAGAAATAAATAATGCCTGTTTGTCTCCCTCTTTGAGATGCCATATAAAGCAGTGTTTTGAAGCCCTTGAACGGGGGGCTAAATAGGGAGATGTGAGAAAGGATGGGAGATAAAAGGATGATAGAAAGAGGTTGCATTTTCTTTCCACTCCACTATAATGGCCGTTTCACAATGTGTGGGCCCACAGGACATCAAAGGCCAGTGTTGGACAGACGAGGAGTCGGACGGGGAAAACGAGTCAGAACAGTTCCTGTATGGCATTCAGGTACAGCAGAGGCTATTACTCTTTCTCCAGTAAATCTTTATTGTTTAATCTGGTATTTCACAATTCTAAAATTTGTTTTCACTGATGCTAGTCAGTATTGTTGTGAAATTACAACAACCTTAAATTAGCTGTTTAAAATATATTTTTACAAATAATATTATTTTAGTTCTCAGCAAGCTGTAAAAGAGCTTCTGATAGGATGTGTTTTGCCGACTAACAAGTCCTACTGCTGTAATATGTTGATAGCAGAAAATGTTTGACAAAAAGCACATAGTAATTTGATAATTTAACAAGGAATAACCACTGCAAGAGAACCAGCCACCATTTTTCATGACGCTGTGTACATAGTGTGTTGGTCAAGGGGAATTTTTTACCTAATGGTGGCTCCGGGCAATAAGTCAGGGTTCACCTAAATCATTAGGAATCATTTCTGGGGAGTTATGAATATTCAGACCCAATGTCATGGCAATGTGGAGTTGTTGAGATATTTTGCTCTGGTCGTCCAGAACAGATGGACCGGCTGACTGACATTTCCATTCTAACGCCAGCAGGGCAAACAATTTGAATTCATCTGAAGCAGGATATTCTGTTAAAATGTAAGGGGCTTAGCAAATCTGACATTTACCACTAAATAACAGGTTCAGTAGTATCACCACATGCAACTTTAAGTTTCAGAAATTGCACCTCAGGGATAAATAAAGTTTTATATTTAATTAAATTTAATTGAATAAGTATCAATCTGAAGCAACACTGTCAAATCCATTTCCTTGGCTGCCATTTCATGTATCAACTCATCTCGTAAAGTTCAATGCTTCACTTCCGTATAAGATCTTAATCTGTTAGTCATCCTTTTTTACTGTTATCTTCCAAGTCTTATGATTGAAATGTAAATCCAGTCTGGGACTTAAAGCTCATTTCTGTGCAATAAGTGAACATGAAAGCAGCGTAGTGAAGATAAGGATGAAAGTGTGGGATCTGGTCTACTCACTCAGAGCTGAGGAGATGAGAGTCTGACTTCAAGTCTAGACACCAGGAACACGTATGACAAACCTAGGTCAGCTACTATTATTAATACTTGAAAATGTAATTGTGGAGGATACCAAATGTGCAGAGGCAACCACATGACAGGATGTAAAACCATAACTAAATAATATATAAAATAATATATATAACGTTTCTTGTAATATGAAAAAGATGAACATTGACATCCATGACGTAACCTCATCTCTATCAAAGACACTGTCTAAATTTACAAATGATTTCTCAAATGCCAATTAACCGTCTGAGTTTATTGCAAGTATAAAATATGTTTGAATCAGGAGTGTTGACTAAAGGGAACAAGCCATTCTGAACTGGACTTCCTAACGCAAGATTCAGATATTCTACAACTGGGATCTAATTTCATAATATGCAAATGCCATGATAACCTGGTCTGAAACGTGTCTTGAAGAAGTGAAAGATTAAAAGATCAACTGATTTGGAAATGCGAAATTGATTTGATTTAAAGAATATTTAAATATCGATTCAGCTGTAAAATCTGAGCACTATGTGCTGCGATTGAGTGTTAAAATTTAGTTAGCAAGCGAGCTTTGAGGTAGCTGAAAGTAATGGATAAACAGTTAAAAAAGCTTAAAGTAATGGATGAATGGTTGAAAGCTTTAGGTTCCGCTATTACACGTAGTTGTTGTTTGAATGCAATCTTGACCAAACCAAACCTAAACACAAATGTGTGCAAACATTATTATATCATTGTCCATTTAAAATAATCAATAATGTTAAATAACATCTGTCAAGTCAAATGGTGTCAGCGAAGGTTGCTTGAATTCATCTGACAGGGCTGTTGGGGTACGTCAGACAAAAAAGGTGGGGAACCACTGTTCTGTAGCATTTCCTGTACTGTAACTGTGACCAGTGTTAATGTATGTTTGTTGTAGGGAAGCTGTGCTGCTGACCTGTACCGTCACCCTCAACTGGATGCAGACATTGAGGCAGTAAAAGACATCTACACAGACAGTGCTGTCTCTGTTAGGTACAGCACAGATACACACACACATACACACACACACACACACACACACACAACTGTTTGAGACCTATTTTGAAAATGTTTAAAACAAACAAAATAACCATGTGGTGGTATGATTCAGTGTGCTTGTGCTTCTTAATTTGCCACACGCTGTGCCCAGGCACGATTCAAAGAAATTATGTTTTTACTAATTTTAACTAGGCACTGTCTGGCATAGAAGGAAAAATAACCCTTATTTTTCTCCCTCACGGAATAATCAGTTAAAGGGTTGGAGTGTAATGCATCCCATTACCTATGATGAATGAACTGTATCTGTTGCTGTGTCTCTGAACAGGGAGTATGGAACCATCGATGACGTGGACATCGATCTTCATATTAACATCAGTTTCTTAGATGTGAGTCAGCATTCCTCTTTCTCTGCACAACACCTCCTCCATCTTTGCCCATTACTATTCTAACGTTGACATTTTGCAAAGTAACACATCATTTATAATGCATCGTATGCTCATAACTAATTTATGCAATGAGAAATGGCCCTAATTAGGTTGCTAACTCTGTATATTTGTGTGTATGTGTGTATGTGTGTGTGTGTCTGACTCAGGAGGAGGTTGCAACAGCTTGGAAAGTTATCAGAACAGAGCCCATTATTCTGAGACTGCGCTTTTCTCTTTCTCAGTACCTCGACGGACCTGGTGAGTAAAGATGTCAGTGTGGATGTTGGTTTTCTGGGAGGGACTTTAGGTATTTGTGCCACTCACTGAGCGTAGGAGGTGAGTACAATATGTGCAATACGAGAGGGAGAATGAAAGAAAGTGTGTATGTGTGTATCTTTGCACTGTGTAATAATGTTAGTCATCTTTACTCAGAGCCGTCAGTAGAAGTGTTCCAACCCTCCAATAAAGAAGGCTTCAGCTTGGGCCTGCAGCTCAAAAAGTAAGTCATGTCACTTATAATGTTTCATTGTGCAAAGAAATTTTCATAATTTAACCTCAGTTTCCCAAAGAAAGTAACATTTTGCATAAGCAAATCACAGATGATTTATTTTTCAATTTAAAGTGGCCTTACAAAATATATGCATTTAATTGTAGTCTTAGCCTTTGCAATGTTTTGGTTGACTAATCAGGTCAGGCAAAATAATAATGTACACCGACATGTTCACTCACATTTCTTCCTGCTCACTTCTCCCTTTTTGTGGCAGGATCTTGAGCACGTTCACCTCACAGCAGTGGAAGCACCTCAGTAATGAGTTCCTCAAGGCCCAGCAGGAGAAAAGGCACAGCTGGTTCAAAGCCGGTGGAACCATCAAGAAGTTCCGTGCCGGGCTCAGCATCTTCTCCCCCATACCCAAGTAGGTCTCTCTCTCACTCGCTCTTTCTCTCTGTACCTCTTTCAAGGCATCTACACAGCCATGCCTTTGTATGCTGCACATTTTAGGCCAGTTACTGACACTCCAATTCAGAGGAAATATTTTCAAATAAACAAATGTGCATGTCGTATATTGACATGATACAGTAGTAGGGATGCAATATATTGACATTTTGGCCAATACTAATGGATATATTTCATTTTTCATTTCATTGCAAAATCAACACGTCTGTAGTTTGCAGTTCACCTGTTATACTGTGATTGTGATGCTTGCTTTAGATACAGTTTAGTTATTGTCCTGATTTATTTCTAAACTTGGTTTTAGTATTATGTTGGCATAATATCCACAATACGTAGATATTTGAGAGCTTTTCTATAACTAAGGTGAAATTTTAATAAATATAGAAAAATAGGGCAGTTTTAGCTTTCTTCAGTTGTTGCAGGTTTTCATCAAAGAACAAATATATATATATATTTATAATATATATATACTATTTTAGGCAACCCTAAACTTAAGTGATTCAATCTGTTTCTGGTCACAAAATGCTCTTAACACCTCATTCTGGAGATGTCTTGACTAGGAGATATTCACTGTCTGCAGTGTGTCTATTTTATTGATTACTTCTATGTTATGTCTCTATTTTATGTTCCTTCTTTTTCATTCTTTTGTGAAGCACTTTGTGATGTCTTATCTAGAGAGGTGCAGTATCCATACATTTACTCACATACAAGCTAAGAGTGGATCGCTAAGATTTCTGAGGGATCAGGGTAAAAATGCGATCCATCTTGTGAACTAACTGCGAGCTGTAAAGATAGTGATGGAAATACTTTGCGAAGGTTTGTCTGTGAGATATGAACTGTAGCAAAGAAGACAAGCAGGGGAAAGGAAGCTCTGACACAGCATGTTGCAGATTGACTTAAATTCAAAATCTGACACACTCAACCAATTTCCCCAAGGGGGATATACTCTTCTCGGCCTCTGTCTTGTCTTGGATTCTTTGACAGTTATGGGTGCAGAGGGATTGGATCCTGGCCCACTCGATGGAGGTCAGCTGCACTAACTACCAGGCTGTCTTGACACCCTCACAACTTGACAGAAGTCTCATGTCAAGAGTGTACATGGATAATGTACTGAGAGTGATGGTGGAAGTGAACACTGGTTCTTGTATATTAACAGTTAGTGACTTGAGCTGCTGCCCAAACAGATTTCAGTTGTCTGAGCTAGTATAATACTGCAAGTGTAGTATGAGTGAGAACACCAGTCACTATAAAATTACCCAGGGGCTGACACTGTAGACACATTGCACTCTTAACATACAGGATTTATAGCTAAGGAGATGTTGCAAATAGGGTTGTTTTTTTACTTTATAATAATAAGCTGAATTTCTTTTTTTTTTTTTTGCTTTGAAAGCATATGACAACTAGTGATGAGCAGGAATTGTGTGTTGCCTTCTTTTTAGGTCTCCAAGTTTTCCTCTGATCCAAGACACAGTTTTAAAAGGAAAGCTAAGTGTCCCTGAGCTGAGAGTGACCCGCCTGATGAACCGCTCTATCTCATGTACCATGAAGAACCCCAAAGGGGAGCTCTTCAGCTATCCACCAAACAGTCAGGTCAGTGCCAGTGTGCACCCAGATATCTCACAGATTTGGAGTCAGATACCTTTCATTTTCAATTGTAATTTGTGAAATTAACAAAATTGCACTGTCCTCCCACGTATTTGTCTTTAATGTGTCTCACTCGCATGTCACGTTGTGTCATTTTACTTACTTTACTTGAAACAATGCTGATGTTGAAAAACTCATGATGCTTTGTTAAGGGGTTCAAAATCATCCACAATTCTGCAAAATCCTGATAAAGTGACTGTATATTGTTCTTTTTTCCTTTTAATCCTCTGTGATCCACTCCGACCCTCTTCTCAGTCACCCGCCACCTGCACTGTTCCCACCTGAGCCTTTCCTTTCCCCTACCGTAACATGGCTGGTGCACCGTTTCCCATAATGCTTTGTCTTCACTTGACTCATCAGACTGTGGCTGTCCCGGCGGCCAGGGCCCCAGCGCAGATTACCACGAGGCAGCTGATTGAATTGTTTTTCTCATCCCAGGCGGGCGGCCACTGCAAGAACATCCCTACCTTGGAGTACGGCTTCTTAGTGCAGGTTAGACCTCAAGGAGATATGAGTCGACTTAACAAGGCACTTATACAACCTGTCATTTCTACAGTCCAAAAACATGGCAAACAATTGTCAGTGCTGTATGTTTGTAAGCAACAATAAAGGCTGACCTTACAATCTGGTCAGATGTGAGGGCCCTTTTGTATTGACTGTTTCGGGTATTGTGTATCTGCTGGTAAGTGGCGGTGACAGAGGGTGGGGCCCACAGTGCTTTTTGTGCTAGAACCTTGTAACAGGTTCAGCCAGGCGTAATTGCAGCACAGATTTGTAGTTTTGTGACAATGCTGCTGCCAAACTAGTTACTTTATATGGCAGAGCTTCAGGTGGGAGTGATAACTGGGAACACCACTGTGCTTTTCTCCAAACAGATAATGAAGTATTCAGAGCAGAGGATCCCCACGCTCAACGAGTACTGCGTGGTGTGCGACGAGCAGCACGTCTTTCAGAATGGATCTATGTTGAAGGTAGAGAGAAAAATACATTCTCTCTCTCTCTCTCTCTCTTAGTAATATGATCCTGTTACTGGATTTTCCACAATTGAACTTTTGAGAGAGCAAGACAAAGAACGATAGTGTGTGTCAATATGCGTGTGAATGCAGTGTACTTGGTTTTGTGTATACGTGTAGCACATGTTGAAATAAGAGTATTTTTGCCCCACTTTGTGTGTGTGTGTGTTATACAGCCGGCTGTGTGCACCAGGGAGCTGTGTGTGTTCTCCTTCTACACTCTGGGTGTGATGTCAGGAGCTGCAGAGGAAGTGGCCACTGGAGCAGAGGTGACAACAACATAACAAGATAGTATATGATATAATTCAGATTATTGATATATTTATATTTTCCCCAAATTCCTTTTGGATTTTGGATTAAAGGATTAAATATTCATGTAAGAAAAACAAAACACAAGGGTCAAACACTGATCGCATTTGATGTGATGATGTTAATTTCTGATTATTTGTAGTTTATACATATTGGAACAGAGGCAGGTTACTGACAATGAGTTGGTAGCAGCACAAGATAAAGGAATACAATGTAAATGTCAAATTCTTCTTTCCCCAGGTGGTGGACCTGCTTGTGGCTATGTGTCGGGCTGCTCTCGAGTCGCCCCGTAAGAGCATCATCTTTGAGCCCTACCCATCAGTTGTTGACCCAAATGACCCCAAGACTCTGGCCTTCAATCCAAAGGTCAGCATCCTCACTGCTCAAATCATGATTACTAACTGTGATCAATAGACAAATTAATTTCAAGATGACACATCAATTTTAAAAACACAAAGCCTACTCTGTTAAAACCACTGCTGCTGACAGAACAATACTCAAAAATATTATTGCATGAAGTTATTATTAGTTGTATCTTGTATATATGAGTATCTGATAAAAAAAAATGTTTTCATTACATGGAAAAATAGTAACAATATTTTACAAACTTATACCTCTACAAGTGATTTTAGATGTCTGTATGTTGTTCCCACTCTCATCGCATACAATGGATGTTTGGCTCAAACGATGAACACAGAAGAAGAATTATGAGAGACTGCAGAAAGCGCTGGACAGCGTCATGTCCATCCGGGAAATGACCCAGGTACAAGAAGGAGGTGGGAGGGAGAGAAGGGAAGGGCCACAGTGAATCAAAGCTACAGTTATTTTAGTTTATATAATATCACTCTATGTCTACCCCATAACTGTATTTGTGGACTGTGGTGTTAAAGCTGCATGGGTGGGGTCTTTGTTTTTAAGTCAAAGCGAAATCAGTTGTTGATGATTAGTTTATCTTCTTTATCTTCATCTCTTCTTTCTATTTGATTTAACACTGTGGCTTCACTGCATATGTACAACATTAAACACGCCATAAGTCTGTATCTAAACACTTGCTCATTTGGCTTTAGAAAGAATCTGTGAAAAAAGAACCAACTGAAAACAGCACATGCTTGTGGTTCTTCCAGGGCTCATATCTAGAGATCAAGAAACAGATGGACAAACTGGACCCTCTGGCCCATCCCCTGCTACAGTGGTGAGTGGAGAAGATCTGTTCGAAAAATGGGTTTACTCAGCTTTGCATATCAACAGGATCTGATTTAATTTCGGAAATTAATATACTGCACTACTCATCAGTAGAGAGCATACAAATTATCATGGACAACACAATAATGCTAATGCCAGCAGCCTTTTTTCATTAAAGTCTTCTTGACATGTCACAGTAGGAAAAGCGCAGGTGTAAATAATAAAATGAATGATGGCTGAATTTCATTTAGCTGCTTTGGTTTCATGGTCCGGCTATTGTGCATGTTAGCTCTGTTATAATCTCATGACGTACCAATTGTTGGGTACTTTTTAAATTCTGTTACATTATTTTATGTATTTTTTTTCATCCTGTCTCTGTCTCTCTGCAGGATTATTTCCAGTAACAGGTCCCACATCGTCAAGCTGCCTCTGAGTAGGGTAGGGAACCAGAATGACATCCCCTCAAGTGTCCTCTATCAACTTAGTTTTTTAATGCTACATTACGTAATTTGATGGTTCATACTCATTCTTTGTCTGTCTGTTTGTCTCTCCCTTGCTCTCACTTCTGTCCCTTATGATCTTATTGTGATAGCAACTGAAATTCATGCACACCTCCCACCAGTTCCTGCTGCTCAGCAGCCCCCCGGCCAAGGAAGCTCGTTTTCGCACTGCCAAGAAGCTATATGGCAGCACCTTCGCCTTCCAGTGAGTCCACTTTGTTCCTCTCATTAGCTGATGCAGCAGTCATACAATCAAAGCTCCATGTTTTCGTCGAATGGTTACTTGAAGCTTATGAAGCCTAAAATCATTCAGGCTGTTATAAGATATCAGACAATAGTTTGAAAATATTACATTGTAAAGCTTGTGGCTGTATATAATGTGGGAAATCAGTTATTGTAAATAATTGATCTGAAATCAAGCATAGTCACTAAATGCATGCATAATTTACTATTACAGCAATACACTCTGTCAAACATGAACGTGTCTCAGTGTAACACCTGGTCATTATGTTGCGGATGGAGGAGCCACTCAAGCAGATTTTTATGGAACCATAACAAACAACAGCACAGAGCAGCGGCCATTCTCTTGGACAGAGAAACCACCTTGCTAAGCCAGCACATGGAGCCAGCAATATCTGTGAGATAGCGATTTGTACTGTAGCAGATGGGGCTTTGCTGAATATTTTAGATACACACGGCCCATCTGGGCACTGGCAGGGTACGACTAACTCATGAGCAGTGCTAACAGTCTCTCTTGCTGCTTAATACTACAAATTTAATGATTCTCAACAGGAAATGCCAAATTTTATGTCACCTTGGCTGCCATTATTTACACATTTATACATTGATATAAATAGAAACATACAACATGTAAATGCATGTACATATAAGTACATTATTAAGAAGAGAATCCATACAGGGCTGATTAGTGAAATTAAGAACTTTTCCCTGCTTATTTACGAGACTGTGGGAAGAAAAACGTCATACTGCTTTAAAATGAGTTAAAAATAAAGGCACTCATGACACTGCTGTGACCGTTCTATTTCATTTTAAGACAGTCCAGACACATGCACAGGGGGAGGAAATTAAAATAACCCATCCTGTACTGAAAGAGCGCAGTGATGGGTTGTCAGCTTTGATCTTCATCCTTTAAAACTTTTTTTTAGTGTTAAATGATATAAATTTGGAGGCTTATGATGATATAACAGAATGTCCTGAAATATCCTTGTCAGAAATTGTATAAATAGACGACTACAGTAGCTCTTTTGTTGTTGGCAGAAGAGAGCTTGAATCTTCTCTCCTCCTGATTTTGAATTTGCGCTTACAAAATACTTAATAATAATAACTAAGTGGTACAGCTAATATAACATATTTTAGCTGTATTAGAGTCTTTCGTGACACAAATGTGGAAAATATAATATTAAATTAAATAATATTAAATGTCTCTTTTAGTGAATTAAAGGTCACAGACAAAATAAGCAGCGTGGATCTGACCACTACCCTTGCAGCGGTTGCTGAGATCCGCAGCGTTTATATCCCCACAGCACTTTGTTTTATCTCTTCTTTCTTATCTCTCCCTCTCTCTACACTTGCTCTAGTGGTTCCCATATAGAGAACTGGCACTCTGTTCTGAGAAATGGACTAGTCAATGCCTCTTATACCAAACTGCAGGTACGTAACCCTGGCAGTTGGCTGGAATTTACGATGCATCTCCTCTCGGACAGTAAACCTGCTCTTGGACAGAACAGGCTCGCTGTCCGGCTGATTCATTTTTGCAGTTAATAGATGCCAGCTTCCCTTTCGTCAGCTTTGCAAATTGGCATTTCAGCGAGCAGGGCACACTGGGAGATTTTCCTGGCCAATGTCGGCCGCTTTTTGCCTCCTCCGCCGGCAGCAGCGGACAGCACGTCTCTTCTTCTCTTCCCTGATGAAGGGAGGGGGCTGTGGTGTCAGCTGTGATGTCAGGAGGCTGCTAGTGTGCCCTGTTGGGGTTAACCACCTAGAGCACTGAGTAGGTTAGGTCTGATGCTGAAGGATGCAAAGGACGAGCTCCATGGTAGTGAGTATAGACTTCCTGTGGGTGATTAACGAGGGCTTCCATAAAAGGTCAGTAACTGGCACCACTCATTATCTATTCAGACTTGGGTCACATAGTAGCCTCAAATCATTTCAAGTGTTTATTTCAAGCTAGTTGCTACCAGGTGGGTACAATGGACCAAATCAGGACCGTAAAGATCATTTTCTATGTGTTGCGGGACTGTACTCCTCTTTTACTCCATCTGCATACATCTGCATCTGTATATTGTTCTGCCAAGTTTGGTGTCGCACTTTGTGACCCAAGTCTGCAAAAGATAAATAAATAATAAAACAAGAAAAGAAGAAGTGAGCACTAAAAGGCACCGAATTGTCTAATTTGCACAATACGGCTGATAATGACTGCTTGGAGATACACTAGCATTTCTTGAAAATAGATTAAACACAATTAAATGTGAAATCTCAAGGATCTGTGAAACTTTTGTGTCGGCCGTGATTGCTCTACCATGCTGATGTATTTCATTCATGCTTTCTTTGTTCACCAACTTTTTGAACTCTCCATCTTTGATCTCGCCTCAGTGCTCGTTGTCTGCTTTCTCTCATTCCTCTCCTTTTCACCTTGAGCATTGACACCCCCTCCCATCCCTCTGTCATTGTGTTTCACATGAGGAAGGGGACTGAGTTTGCCTCCAGCTCTAGCCATCACACAAAAACTCTTGTCTATTTTTCCTTTTGATTTCTTCTAGATGTGCCACGCCTGACCTCCATCTTCCTCACATTTCATTCCCAAACTCTCAAGTTGATCTTTGTTCTTTCTCTTGTTTCTCCTTTGGGTTCACTGTGGCTTACAAACACTTGTCCATGTTGTTACACCTGTGGTCCTTTTTGTTTTTTCCTCATTCTGGACATTCCTTGTGTGGAAGCTCATCATCATCAGTCATCTTTATACTTTACCATCTTTACCTTCAAGCCAGCATACATGGTCTCATTTCTCATGTCTCCACATTGCTTGAATACCTTTGACCTTTGAAACATTTTTTATACAAAATTCATTCACATGTAATCTTCAATGGACTACCTTATGTCAGGAGAAAATAGGTTGGCAGTTAGTACAGGTGTGACTGTTTGATCACTGGAATAATAAAACTTCTTTTCTTTCTTTGGCTCTTTGCCAGCTGCTATCTATAGAGTTTGGTGTGTGTGTGTGTGTGTGTGTGTTTAGTATACTGGTTGGATTTGCCAGGTAAACTGTCACAGAAACATATAAAACACTGACTTATATATGCTTTCCTGTGATTTAACTACAATAGGACTGGTATGTATTGCACTGTATGTGAGTACATCCGTGTGTGTATGTGAGGTTGTCCTGTGCAACTGCTCAGTGACCCTTCCTTCCTTCCTGCTCTTTTCAAACCCAAGCTGCATGGTGCAGCGTATGGAAAGGGCATCTATCTGAGCCCCATCTCCAGCATATCTTTTGGATACTCAGGTAGGAACGGCTTATTCCTCGCCACTCAGCTCACTCCGGCCCCCCGCTCACTTTTTCCCCCCCTACCATGTTGACTGAATACGTTCTGTGTTTGTAACATGGCCTGATTATCATCCTGGAGCACTTCATTTTCATATTTGGGAGCTTTCCATGCTATTCTGTTGTCCTGCTCTGTGTTGTGTGTCCATTTTGGGTGCTGGGCCTTGGGCCTTTTCTATGAGCTTGTGTGCCGCCTACCATACCATACATTATGTTGTGGCTGTGTAAAATGGGGCTGTCACTGGATCTGTGTGCATTACTTTGTACTTTGTTGGCTTTTATATTGTTTTCCTTTCTTTGGGTAGGGCTGTAGAGCCATTCAAAGTAAACATTAAGTCCTTACCTTACTTCCCCAGTGTGTTTCTGCTGATACACAATTTCAGAGGTTGGTTTTGAGGTCCTGCTATACTGTGGTTTTGGTGCTGGCTTTGTGGACAAGAGGTCAGCAGGTTACCAAAGGGGCTCACCTGTTGGCTGTATTACCAAACCTCCAAAACAGTTTCACAGTTTTAAGGATGGGTATGCAATTCATTATCCTAAGTTAAAGATGGCAAAACAAATGCAACAGTTATTATATCCATTTGGCTTAATCCATCCTTGCTCAATCAATATCAATAAATAAATACTTAAGTTGATTGCACAGATTATCAGAAGCAGGGTGCTGTCTAAAGCACATACTTTTGATAATAAAAACGGTAACAGCTGTACTTTCTGTATCACCTTTTTGTTTTGATACTGAATGTCACAATTCATGTAGAAATATTCAGTAGCATTTTTTGAACAATAACCTTCATATGAAGGTTAGATCTGTGAGTAATAATTTCTCTGTACAAGGAGTTCAAGACCACTAAAGGAAAGTTTTTCACAGCTTGAGTGACTTGAGGTAAGGTCGTTCTGACTCATGGTTGTTTGCTCTCTGTGTGCTACTTCTTGCAGGAATGGGGAAAGGACAGCACCGCATGCCCACCAAAGATGAACTGGTGCAGCGTTACAACCGAATGAACACCATACCACAGGTGAAAGAACTGGAAATATTACAGCCTCGCATGTACTTAATTTATAAAATATAAGAAATACTGCATCATTTATAAAGATAGTGGGGCTCTATGAATCCAGGTTCCCATTATACACGTAGAAGATGTGTTAATAAAAGGGAGGAGACAAATCTTTGATTTTTAACAATCCCTATGCCCTAATTCTGACTGTTGCACTCTGTACAGTTTCAGTGTTTGTAATTATACATTTTAGAGCAGTCCTCTGGATACTGTCATTAACTCAGTTAGATCATGGTCTTTACTGCAGCAGCTTGGTGGGACTTAACTGTTGCCTCTCTTTTCTGTAGAGCCGCCCAATACAATCAAGGTTTCTTCAGAGCCGAAATCTGAACTGCATCGCTCTGTGTGAAGGTAATCACGAGCAGGAAGTATAACACGTGTTAAAGATTAGAAAATAATGTCTGTTCAGTAATATTCCAGAGCAACATATTGGTGTTTGCCAGGTAAATAAGTTAAAGCTGAGATAATAATGAAAATGTGTCTATATTATGCTATATTATAATGTTAACAAACATTCAATTAAATAAAGATTAAACATAAAAATATGTTAGTTAACAACAATTATACAATTTTCAGTCTCCTTCATCATAGTTAGTTAGTCAGAACGATACCTTAAAGTTACATCAATAAAATGGAAATAAAATTGGGTAATGTATTATTAACAATAATATGTATAATAGTTAATAGTTACAATATGATCATCATCATAACAGGAGAAAACAATTAAAAACTTACTTAGGATAATAATTGAGTTTAAGCATTAAGCTTAAGATGTACTATACAGTTTTGCTGTATAATAACAAAAACAACAGCAACCATTACTATTACAACCAATACTAATATCAGAAGGAGTGGAAGAAAGTACAATAAATATGAACTACCATTCATATTTGATACTTGTGGTGTAACATGAGACTCTCTTTTAAACAGTGATCACATCTAAGGATCTGCAAAAACACGGCAACATTTGGGTGTGTCCAGTTTCGGACCACGTCTGTACTCGCTTCTTCTTTGTGTGAGTATCCAACATTTTTAACTCCTTGATGACTCCTTAAATGAAAGCTATCATTTGAGACAAGAGTTGGCATAGCAGCCAGTAAATCTAAAAATCATTATCATACTTTTAAAGTGCACAGTTAATCCCTCAAATGGTTAAATATACTGCAGTTGCCCCACATCACTCATCATCATTTAAAATTAGCAGTCAAAGTGTGCTGATGGTTGAGTGGTGTTACCACTGCACTAAAGTGGGTCCCTCTCAGGTCATAGCCTTTCAATAAAGATGTCTAAAACTGTTGTTTTGGAGCTCAGCAAATAAAACATGGCATCCACACTGGCGGCTGTGTGTCCAAGCTTTAGACACACACATTCACCAGATGGCAAAGTCTATTATCATGTCCACTGCTGTCTTCTGAGTTGGAAATTAGATTTGAGATGGCCTGCAATCAAATTTAAATCACAGCTAAATATAATTCAGTTCTGAACTCGTGCTGAGTGTGTGGTTGTATTTTTTTATCTTGAAGAACTGGTAGATAGGTTATAAAAAAAGATTTGTTGTGTCAGACCTAATGATGCCTCCTCTAAAATCACTGTAATTCACTTGCTTCCAAGACAAGAGCAACTCACATAGGCTCATTTATCTGTGGAAAGGTTACTTAAGGTTATTAAAAACTTAAACCGCTATTAATGAAAGGATGAAAAGAAAACATGTCAACTCTTTGATGTATAATATGCGCAGGTATGAGGATGGCCAAGTAGGAGATGCCAACATCAACACCCAGGAGCCTAAGGTGCAGAAGGAGATCATGCGTGTGATTGGGACCCAGATCTACTCCAGCTAATGGAGGTTCTCCATGCGTCTCTCTGGCGGGGACACACAGGCAGGCAGACAGCGAATGTTTGGGCGAGCTGAACTTGGGCCTGATACTGAAGGCAGAGGGAGCTCTTGAGCATATTATTTCTAAAGTTGTTTTGTTCTGGTCCTCTCATTTCTCTCTCTCTCTCCTTTGTTCCTCATCTCCGAGTGGTTATGCATTACATGTTCATTTAACATTCAGTTAGGTTCACCTGGTTAAAATCAGTCTGCTTTTTTTCAGTTTGTGTCACTTCATCAGATACGTAACACACTGATAAAGAAAAAAGTAGTCACTTGTGTGGCTCTCCAAACATACACACACTTTCAAACCCAGGATCGACTGGGCTTTCTCCTTTCTTGCTGCACTCTGACTGGTCCTAATTATCTCTATTTATCATTTCTCTTTGTGAATATCTAGTAAAAAAAAAAAAATCATTCCAAATGATAATTAGATCCCTTTGTGGCAAATAAGTGATGGATTTACATGCACATAGAAGTTTGTTCTCTTATTGTGTTTGCAAAGGCATTATATCTGATCCGTTTATTTAATATTCTTTGACTAATGACATGAATTAAGGTCTGTGACGTGGTTATCTGAGGGGCAAGCACTGTTCTGTCATTTTGTCCTTGTTCGCTGGATAAAGCTCCCAGAATTTAATAAGCGAGGTGTGGCTTGAACTCAAGTTACATACACTATAGGCACTTTGTTTTTGATAACATTATCAAATTTAAAAATCCATTAGCAGTATTATGATGTTTCAGTACAGGATTAAGACAGTTCTGATTGATGATGCACTTTCAAAACCTCACTGCCCCCAAATCTCAAACAAGCTGGAAAAAAAAAGAAAAAACAGCTACTTTTATCTAACTGGACAGAAGTGTAACATGGCAGGTCACCAACAAGGGTCATACAGTTTCCTCACAGCTCCATTTAATATTTTTGGTTTTGACATGTACTGAAATAATGCTCTGCAAGGCAAAAGGGCTGATATTACTGCTAATCACACTGCAAATCAACATTCACATGTGAGCTTTTTGCACCTTAAAATGACTTTAGTTTGTTGTTTTGGTTTGCTGAGGTTAGCCGCTGTTCCTCTAGCCAATAATTTCTTAATATTTCTTACATCTGCCTGTCTGAAAAGCTGAAGCAGGATACTTTGGTCTTATAAGAAAAATGGCTACCACTTTGCTTACTCGAAAAGTTTGAGCAGCAGGACATTTTTGAATTTGTCATCTTCATTTGCTACAGTGCTCATAAGGTTTTGACTACGTTAAAGACTTGTGAGAGCTGCAGTTCTTGAATGCTGTGAATGAAACAGTGTAACAAGGCCCAGTTGCATTGAGTTTGGTTTGGTGTCTGCTCCTTAGTTGTCAAAAATTGATTTATGGAGGATATATCAGGCTAAAACCCTAAATGGGTCAAATTGAAGCTGTGAGGTTTACCCCTCAACAACAGCAATATAAATACAGTATAGTGATTCAATTATACATATATAACCATCCTCTCACTCTTGTTAAAAAAAAAAAAATGTGGATTGGGTTTAATCTGTGGACGTGTCATAACTGTTGCCTATGTTCAAAAAACAACCACAATCTGTTGCTTGCCATTTTTTTCCAAGTAGTCATCACTTTTTCTTTAAGTGGTGGATATCTCATTTTGAAATGAATCTCTTTGTGTATGAACTACACTTCCCATTGGATTCACAACCTACAAAATCCACTGTACAGAAAATCATGGACAATTTTACCAAACTATCTACTAACGGTATCCAGTCCAGGTGAGCTCATATCCTCCCCAGCCCTGACTAATGGACACTGGATGATATAGATCTGCATTAATGTGCAACTCTGGTTTCACCTTGGAGGATGGCAACCTTGTATAGCTAATCAAGTTTATCAGTTAGTCATGTACTGTATGTATGTATGTACGTGTGGGTTTGTATTTTCTTGACATTATACTAGACATTGCACTTATTCAACATTTGCCTAAACAGGAGAAATGGACTGTCCTCGGACCTGCAGTAGATGGGTAGTGGAGATAAAGGGGAGAAAAAGTATTTATGGAGTCCACAAACACTAAAATATCCAACATCTTAAACATGTCTCAACTGAGATGGGCTTTCGTTGTCTCCTGGAACTAAAATTCTGACTACTGAATGGACTTTGAGGCACTGAGAGTGAGCAAATTGTAAATAAGGACATTGGAGACCTTGTCGAAATGTATTGCCCAGAAAGAAGTGGACATGTACAGCTTACTCATTGTGTTGCGGGACTGTGCTGATAGCAAATGCCTGTTTTTGCCAAGAGGTTTGAGCTGCGAGTCTCTTTGAGAATCTGTTCTTTGGCAGTCTGTCTCTGGTGAGTAATGTTTTCAAAGATGATGTTGACGACAATGATGGTGATTATGATGATGATGATGAAAGGCGACGATGAAGGAAAAAAAGAAAAAGAAAAAAAGAATAAAGCCTGATTTTGCACAGTTTTACATACAGTCTCCTATTCTTTGATGTTTCTGTAGAAATCAGGTTGACCATAAATGTAGAATTGCTATTGTGGCTGAGGCTTTGTGCTAACATTTTGGTCAGAAGGGGGCACCATTACTCCATGGACATATACACAGACCATCTGAGTCTTCTATTCTATTTGAAGTCTAGACTGAAGTTCAAACCATATTTTTTTTCCTGTATTCATATTCATGAAATGTATGATTATTTTAAAAAGTTGATTCAGTTATAGATGAATTATAATGTTTTGTAATTATCTACCATTATGTCCTGCTTTTAACATGCTGACACATGTTTAATATAAATATTATATTTATAAAAAAAAATGTATGTGGTTGTGTGCGTAACAAAGCATGTTGGTCATATATCAAACGGTGATTCTCATGTGAAAATACTTTACCTCAATAATCAGAAAGACAGTGGGATGAATAATAATCATAGACTGATTAATAAACCCAATATGTCTGTCCTGCTATGATCACATACATTGTTAATACACTATGCAAATGGTAATTGTAAGGAGAGTTGAAGTGATATTTGAAGAAGTGGCCATAAACACTGAACTACCCTTTGATATGAAGAGTGAGTAAATATATATGTGTCAGACTGGCTTTAGAAATACATGCTAACTGAAAAATGAATGGCCATTCTGTCTAGACACCACATCATACTAATTTAAAAAATAAATGAAAGAAACACCACAGTCCTTAAGCACGACACCCCAATCAAACTGACTTTCCTTTCAAAAGTTATTGATTAAGTTCTGGAGGAAGTGATGCAGTGGTACACTTATATACTGCAGCACCTACCTGCTTGCTAAAACTACATTGAATTTGTTGGATGATTTATTAAAATCTAATCTCTCACGGGTAAATATTGCAGTGTATGCTTTCACCTCAAAGGGAGCAAATCACTAATAGTTGTTGACCAGCTAGTTGCTCGCTCTGCCTTTCCTCCTTCTCTCTGTCTCTCCCTTTTTCTCTCTCTGACCACAGAAAGCTCTCCTCTTTCAAACCAGCGGAACACATCTCATCTCACTACTCCGCTGCAAAAGTCCAGTCTGATGGCTGTTTTGGCACAGGAGGCCCTGTGTGTGTACGACAAGTGCTGGGTGTGTAGAGAGTGGGCATAATTATGGGGAAGCTGAAGCACTCATGGACCCTTGAAAGGCACTTTATGTGTGTATTTGTGGCTACGGTAATTGGACCCCTCCCTTTGTGAGCTGACCCATTTGACGGGGCCTGTGGCTGGGCCCTTGTACTGATATCTGTATATGCGTGTGTGACTAACAGATGATGTGTATGGTTCACATGTTACTATGATCTCTGAAACCCGGCCCTCATGTTGGACACGGTCCCCTGGTTTGGCTTTGTCCCCCATTACCAAAGCCAGCTGGCTGGTGGCACACAACTGCACATCGGTTAGATCCAACCGGGGCCTCTTATGTAGTTCAATCATACACCACTGAGGGGAGCTCTGGTGTTATTCTACTTTGCCTTGTTTCAACTGCTTTCTTTGCATACTTAACACACACACACACTGGCACATACGCACTGGGCATTAGCAAAAACACACACACACGCAAACCCATGCAGGTAAACACACACACTACACAGTGGTTGTTTGGTCAGATAAAGGAGTAGTGACGGGAGGGCAGAGGGTCACTGAGGGTGTCTGGCCCTCGGCGGAAGCGACTGCTCCCAACCTCCCTCTCCCCTGCCTCCGTAATAAGTGTGACCGTTTGATTTCTGCACAAAAGGAGCAATTACAGGGAGTTGTTTAATCACCCACACTTTTATTGAGCTCGGGGTCTCTTAGCTTGCAGCTCAGGCCCCCGTCGTCGGCAGCAGCGGGCGACAGGAGTGACAGAGAAGGTCGGTGGTTTAACGGGGCGCGAAGGGGTCTCGTTTGAGTTAAGACTTCGCAGGCTACTCTGCACGCTGCTGAGGCCCCCGGGACAGAGACAAAGAGGTAGACGAGAACAGAAGACAGGCTGGCCAGCCAGGCAGAGAGATAGATGGACTTAGCAGAGAGACGGAGACTAAAGGGCAGAGTTTGGGGGACACATCAAAATCAGAATCACTTTATTCGCCAAGTAGGATAAATGTGCAAGAGTTTCTCTTGGTAGTGTTTGCGCAGAGATACGGTGAGAATTTATAATGCAATGACACAAAACAAAAGAGGTATTCAGGTACATGACAGTTGCACTTGTTGAGCAGGGGATGTGGTGAATTCCCAGGAGTGCAACGGAACCAGCATCTAGTGATTTTCAGAGAAAACTGCTTGAAATGAGCTAGAGTATGAGCAAAGCACAGACATGATTCCTGAACCTTACAAGCAGTGTAGCATGCATGGACTTGTGTGGACATTGTGAGCGCAGGGATGTCATACAAAAATGTTTTTTAACAAAGAGAGAGAAGAAAAACAACAGAATTCGATTTTCCTACTTTACAGTCAGCCCAGAGCCCCAGTAAGCCCAAACTCCCATTCAAAACAGTACCAAGCACTGTCAGTGTCAGTGCTTTTTATTGAATTTTCAGCCCGGGTGTTACTCTATATTTGTGTGCATGCGGAGTGCCTCCTCCTCCTCCTCCTCCTCCCCCTCCTCCCTGGATATGAATGATGGAGTACAAGTCCTTGTCTAGTCCCTCAGAGATGGCAAGGATGGTGGTGTGAGGCGAAAAAGGCGAAGAGGGTGGCGATGGATGGAAGAGCGGAAGGTGGCAGTGTTTTGGGGGAGGGAGGGGGGTGGATGTTTTAGAAATGCCACAACCTGCGAAAAGAACAGCACCACTGTGTGGTGACCAAGGGTGTGGGTGGGGGTGGGGGTGAAGAGGGGGTTTGGAGAAGAAGAGGGTGGCAAGAGATAGAGAGCAGAAGAGGAGGAGAGGGAGGGGAGGGGGGAAGGGAGTACACCATTGCTGCTCATAAAGCCAACAGCTGTGTGGGTAATGTTTTGTGACACCGAGCCTCTCCGAGCCCTTCTGTTTCCCAGAGAGCTAGGAGACGCCATATTCCGTCGTCACAAATGGCACTGTCATTCACCCCCTAAGTCTTAATTATCGCTCCCGGTTTTTTGGCCACGTTTTGCTCAGGCGTATGGATCCATCTGCACGCTGTATAATTCCACTCCGCAATTTACAAGTGGCATTTATTACAATGGCCTCCGCGGCATCTCCTCTTTAACACCGGCAGCCCTTTCCAGAAAGACGAGGGGGAACAAAAGAGCAGTGCAATCTGGCAGCAACAGTGCCCACCCTCAGTTCCCTCAAATCTCTCTCTTGTCTTTTTTTTTTTTTCCATCTGTACCCTTGCTCTCTGTACGACTATCTCTCTCCACCCCCGTATTACTAATTTTTTCTGCTTCTATTTGTGTGTATGTGTGTTTTTTTCCCTTTGTTATTAATTTAATTTTTATGGGATTCACAGTACTCGCACAAACCGCCCCCTATCTGCCTCGAAGCAGAGGAAAAGGAAATAGCTGATGTTGATTTTTTTTTCCTCCTCTCCTCCTCTCCCCCCCTTTGTAATTCATTTTGGATTAATTCCCCTGTCTTCAGAGACAATCCTAATTCTTTATTATTTCCACTTCACAGGCTTCATGACATCCCCATATCCACATATCATATCCAGGGGAAACTTTACACACAGCAGACCTTCTTGTTTTTCTCCTCTCTTTTCCTGTCTCTCTCCTCCTTCCATACTTACACCCTACCCTAATTTCTCTCTCTCTTTCTCTGTGCTTTTTCTATGTCTCTCAATCCCCTCTTTTCTCTCTTTCAATCAATTTTTCAAAATCCTCCCCATTTAGTCTTTCTCATCAGAGGGAAGTTACTTGTTAGTTTCTACCCAGCCGCTGGGCTTCCGTCTATAGAGATAGGCACCCAACACATACAACTTCCCACCTCCTTTAATCCATATGATAATGTATGTGAGTATGCATTGTGCTCATTTCTATTCATATGGGAATACAATTATGTGTTCTTTGCCATTAGAGTGCCTCTAAAAATAAAAATAAAACTACATTAATTTATCACTTGTCTTCCTCTCCTCATGTTGTGTGCTCCACAGTGCTTTTCTTTGACTCCCTCACAACACTCACTTGTCAATTTCCTCTGCTATTAGAGATGCTCATTGGCAGATGGACTCTCGGGCTCATCATATAGCAGCTCTCCTTCGCCTTTATTTCTTGCTCCTCTATCTTTTTCTTTCTTTTCTCTCTCCTGGCCGCTCTTTTCCCCCGCTGTCCCTGCTGTCCCCTTTCATGTTTTTCTGCCTCTGCATTTCACTCCCCTTCTCACAACCTCTTCTCTCTTGCCTTATCTTTCTCCCTCTATGCTTTTCTATTCATCTACATTATTCTGTTGCTCTGCTTTTCTTTCTGTCCCTGTATACATCTGTCCCTCTTCACTCTTTGTTTTTCTTCCTCTCTCTCTGCTTTGTGTGTTTTTTTTCAGGGTGTTTTTGTCTGCTCATGTCAAGTAGTTTTTCAAATCAGCCTTCCTCAGATTTTTAGTGACCATTTTTGCTGCTGCCATTGGCGCTCTCCTTTGTCCCACACCTACCAAGCACTCACGCACAAACTCATACCCACACACACACATGTCCCATCTCCAATTCACTATTAAGTGGGGCCTGAATTTCCCCTGAGCTCTGGTATGGTGGCGGCCGCCTCTGGAGTCCGGCTGTGCTAGATGTGTTGTCTGCTCCCTTACCATTCAATTACCCTCCTGTAATCTGACAGGCTCCTCATGGCCTGCACTGGGACAATCACTAGTTTGTGTGTGTGTGTGTGTGTGTGCACGATTGCACATATCTCTCTCTATTTCTGTGTGTCTGTCTGCTATTATATCTGTCTCTGTGAGTGTATCTCTACATTTCAGATGCACACAGAACCAATGGACCTTTTTGTATTGCCTGCTTTGCTTTCCTTTTCTGTTTCTTCCCTTATTACTTCTCTCACTCAAAGTCTCCCCTAGATCTCTGGCCTGAAGTCACTTGACATCCTGCTGCACCCGCAG